CTGGATTAATAAAAATAAGAATTAGATTCATGAGAGTCGTTCATCATTGTTTGATCTAACAAAACATAAGCAAGACAAAACTGATCATAAGATCATATGGTGTCCACGATGTGTTCATGAAAGGCGAGAGCAAGAAATGTATTTCAGTGGCGATGTTTCCGTTGGATTTCGTCCTTCAATCGAAGAAACCACTTTCTCATAAGTCCGAGTATTATCAGCTGTAAATGCTGTGTAAGTGACGTAGTCTGTATGTGTTGTTAGGTTTTCACATTCAGAAAAATCACGAAAAAATCCGTGGCAGCAGATAAACGCGCATCTGTTCCATCTCAATAGTTTGCAAGCTTTGCGTGTAGTACATTTTCCAAATCTCAAGCTAACATTTAGGATTCGGCACAGATCGCATCTAAAGCCAAATACAATACGAAATGCAGAAAAACAGCCAAAGAAAACAAGCTTACTTTTCGCAATGCTCAATCCAATGTTTTTTTTGTTAACCATATATACATGAATTTACTCTATCTATGCATATAATTCAATAAGTCGGATTGGTGTGCATTTACATTTTTCTATCGTCTGATTGTATTTTTGTTTTGGCACGTACGCAGTAGCCCGGTTTGCTTATCGAGTTCCCCTTCTCAATTTAAACTGCAACCCTTTCGCTACATTTTAATTTCGTCTTATCCCTTTGTCGTTCTCCTTTTGTTTCTTGCTTTCCTGTTTAAATCTAATTTCATTTTATGTCCTTTTTGTTCAGGCCCGCTGTTCGTGACGCACAGTTTCCCATGGACCCCTTCTTGTAAGCCTCCACCACTGGTTTTTGTCAGAGGTGGCTCCCGTTGACCATGGAGTTGGTCAGCTTCCCCCTGCAAATGGCCCCTGTGTGGTCTGCCTGGCCTGGTCTGTCGTCGCCATCTCCGTCGGCCCCACATTTCTGTCACCTGTGGATAAATCAACACGTCGCTGGCTGAATCAGGTTCAACACTTTCCACACACATATTCCTGCTCGCTTATTTTATACCCGGCTATAGTGCGAGATCAGATTGTTTCACGTCTCAGTCTGATGGTTTTACAATCCTGCCGCATCTGCAGGCTCTTATCAATGTAGCCAGCAACATAATAATGGACGAGCCAAGACCTTGTACCATTCAAGTTCAAAAACACTTTTTAGAAAAATCTCACATATAAATATGTAATGAAAACCCCCCACATATATGCATATTTTAAACTAAATCTACTTTGGTTATAAGTAATGTAATTAGCACAGCCTAGTGCTGCATACTTGCCCAGATTTTACGCATGTCTTTACGCATTCTCAACCCGCATTACAAAACTCCACTCTCTGTAAAGTTGTATCTTGTGACCTTTGAATGGATATACAATAATTTGCGCATATAAAGGTCACAGTTATTAGGCCTATACACGCCTCCTTCTTCTTCTTGTTGTGTCTACAGTCAGACTGCCTGTGCATCTTTTCCTTCTCTACACACTGTAAACTATAAAGACACAGTTCATGTTGAGATCAAGAAAAGATGCATGGAGGCGCAGGTGTGGTGGCTGTTTCTTTTCAACCATAACATGAAAACAAATCAGCCCGTACTGAAACTCTTTTTTTCTCATTTCCACTTTAAGACTTAAACTACAGGAGGCGTCTTTGCAGGACACTGAATGCGCCTATTTAGGCTTTACAGCCTATAGGGCCTACCTGACGTGGCGTTAAACTGTACTTTCAAACCCTCCCCAGGCTGGCTTGTTTACTTGTTGTCTAGCAAGGTTTTATGGCTGGACGATGGGGCAATCTGGCTTATTTGTCGCGTCTCTTCCTAACACAGCCGCCGCTGTCACTCTGGATTAGACGCCTCTCTCTGCTTAAACTAAAACATATATTTGGTTTGATATTATTTCAGGATTGCAGTGTTATATTTGATAAAAAAAACGTTGATGTGTGTGTCTGTGTCCGTGCGTAAAGGTACGAAAATATAACAAGAACCCCTACAATGGCAAGAAAAACCTATCTTTGTTTATATGTGCTGCTTTGTCCATTTCAAATTTCAAATCCCCCCCATTGACACGTGTATCTTTATCTAAGTCACTTTGTTATAATCATCTCTGATGCCCATGTGTTGATTATTTTTTCATTCAACTAATTTAAAGGTTTGCCAGTTTTCCAATGGAACGTCATGAGTGTGTATTTTGCTGTCCAGAGTTAAATCCTAACCTAAGCCAGAGTAAATCAAAGACCCTGGATCTCTTTTGATACGCTATTAATGCGAAGGTGGAGTTCATTTGACTTTTCCCTCAGTCTACAGTTACAGGCTCCACATTATCGACCAATCTTGTAACCCAAAGCCGTGCGTAAAAGCAACAGCAATATAAATGGAACTCCATCCGGGGCACAGTGTGGGCCCTTTGCTCTCAGTGAATGAGTCGCTCCCTCCCCCGAACTTGAAGTCGACCGTACACAGACAAAAAGCTTTGGCTTTGAGAGCTTTATACTCAGCACCAGACTGCAGTTATGATCAAGAAAGAAAAACCGCATGCACAAGAAGGAGGGTCGGTGGATCAGCTGACTTCCTCTAATACAAAACACATTTGACCTTACGCAAACTCTAATTTTTATTTAATTTGAAATACTCACGTCTATTTTTAGGACATGTAAATACAAAAAAGAGGTAATTTAACAACATAACAGGTGGACTCATCTCTGTGTCTTACCTTAGTTGTGTACAGGCCTTATTTATCTCTCTGTTGTTGCAAATCCCCAGCTGCTGACTTTGAGTCCGTTTAGGTGGCGACTTCCTATCACGCTTGGCCAGTTTTGTGGTGTCTGTCTGGCCGGGGAGGGAAAAAAGCGCAGCAGAATACTATAGCAGCTATAAAAACGCAGGTCTGTGTGGAGCTGGCTTTGGTTTTCCTGGGCATCCTGTGCTCAATTACAGCTTAAAAGCTTCAGCACAACTCCTAGAATTTGTCTGGATTGACTGAGAGGCGGAGCGTGTGGTCTCAAAGACACTGCAGTTGCTTGTGTCGGTGCAATTTATCCAAATAAAGTGGACGGTGGAAACAGCCACGCAAACTGCTTTTCCTATTTTGATACTCACAGTGCGTTAGTTGGTACTTGCACCAGTCTTAGTGCGTGTGATATTTTAAGGTTGTGTTTCACTTGTGCCATCAGGAGCCCCTTGGGCCCCAGTGTACTCGTCGGGCCGTGGGGCAAGGCCAGCCGCGGCGGTCTTAATCCACGATCAGGTCTCCCATTCACAGCACATTAGAGTCAGGTTGCAGCCTCTCCAAAACGAGCTCCACGGTGGCCTCAGAGCAGAGGGCCAGGGAATGCTCACTGTGACACATATACAAAACTAAATAGAAGAAATATTTGCATTTCAGATGAGTCAGCGTTGTTTGGAAAGTAAACCTATGGTCCACAACCATCTGCGTTTTTCCCCGATTCATGGCCTCAAGATATTTTGCATATTCACATAAAGGATTTAGAAAAGGTTTCTAAGGAAAGTGTTGCTGCTTTAAATGGAAATACTTATTATACAACCATATATATATTTAGAATAACATTTTGCCTAACACTACCCTTTTTTTAAATAACGTTTTACTCTTTGCTCTTGTTTGTGTGTTGATATTATTTACACATGTATGTATATGTGCGTCACCTTAAGAAATAGGGAAAAGGGAATTGATGGTAATTGTATATAAAAGTAGTTTAAATTATGAAAACTGTGTCCTCACTGAACCACCTGCATTTGAATAAATATTCGCCCCGAAACGTTAAGCCATATCCGTGCGTAATGGTTGTTGCGTCTTCTTGGAGATGTTACTGCAGCCATTAAATGTTAATATCAGGTTAAAAAAAACAAAGCAATAAGGAGTATAATTTAAAAATAGCATAAGTTTTGTTTTTCTAAAGAGCTTATAACATTTTACTACTGAGCAGATTGTTTTAACGATTGTTGGCGTCAGTTTTTAACTCAATTCATGCGCTTTTTCCTCAATCAACCTTTGCTTCTTTTTCCTGAGACGTATCTGTTGGTTTTTCCTGTTGCTGTAACTGACGATGAAATGTTAAAATAATATAAATCTCACCAAGAGTCTTGAAATTAGGATTTTAAACATTTGTTCATCGGTGCAAATGATTAAAAACAACAGTTTACTGTTTTTATCTTTAAAGTTGCAATTCTGGTAACGATGAATTTCTTTTGTCTTTATTTGTCAAAATTGCAATTTTGATCTTTGCTACGCTGGCACTAAAGACTGAAGCCAGCTGAAACATTAGCCGCTACTTTGAACATGACCCTGATAACCAAATGCTCACTGGGCATTTGGTTATCAGGGTGTGCCATGTTGTAAAACCTCTAAATGATGAGGGCTAAGACATTTCTTAAAGGGGACTTTGGAGACAAGGTGGTTGTTGCCTTCCTCCAGTTCAGCGCTTTATTATTCGTACCAAGTTAATGTTTGTTTAGTTTGTCATTGCAGAGTAGTTGGAGTGCAATTTTTAAAACAGTTTTATCGTACTGAATAAATACTTACAAACAAGAAAAACCACAAAAGCCTAAAATGCGCACGAATATCTTTCAAGGACAAACTGAGTAGCAGCATCTGGAAAATTCTTATTGATACTTTGGCTAAAGCTTCGATTGAAATCCCGCCTCTCTATTTTTATCTGCCAACATCCACATATAGTAATGTCTTCCTGCGACTTCGTTGCGTGTGAAGGAATTCAGTTTTAAGCCGACATGGCGATGAACCACCAATGTCAAGCTTTAGGACACACAGCAGTCATGCCTCTTACTTCCTTGCGCATACGCACACACACACAGACAGGCAGGCGTGCGCGTGCGTACACACACACACACACACACACACACACACACACACACACACACACACACACACACACAGCCTGAAAATCTGTCAATTTCTGCTGCGTGGTCACGTGACCTCCTCCTCCGTGGAGTGGATGGAGATGGCTCTCCACGTCAGCCTACGTCTCCAAATTTCTGTTTAGCGAACCTGCTTCAAAGAGGCAAGAGGCACGGCGCTTCAGAGCCATGTTCAGGGCGGCTATAGAGGAATCAAACCCTAACATAGAGTTATAGTGGAGGGTGAACTACGATGATGGATTTTGACGAACGGGTCCCCGTCGGATCGAACATGTATTTGCCCAGTTGCACTTATTATGTGTCGGCGGGGGCAGATTTCTCCGGTCTTCCCTCATTTTTGTCCCAGACCCCGTCCACCCGCCCCATGACATACTCCTACTCCTCTAACCTGCCGCAGGTCCAACCCGTCAGGGAGGTGACATTCAGGGACTATGCAGCTATTGACCCGTCCGGTAAATGGTCGCACCGGGGGAACTTGCCCCAGTGCTACCCCAGCGCAGAGGACATGGTGCACCGGGACTGTCTGTCGGCGCAAAGCGCCGTCGTAGGGGACATGTTCGGTAAAAACAGCCCCGCAGCCGCCGCAGCTGCCGCCGCGTACCACCACCACCACCACCACACAAGCGCCGGGTCCGCCGCCTCCAATTTCTACGGGAACGTGGGCAGGAATGGCGTGCTGCCACAAGCCTTCGATCAGTTTTACGAGACGGCGTACGGGAACGCGTCGGAAAGCTCCTCCACGAACGGCTACTCAGGGGACAAAACGGCGACCAAGCAGCCCAGCTCCGCGCCGGAAGACGCGCCTTCGTGTCGGGACGCCGAAGCGAAGGAGCCCCGGGAGGAGACGAGCAGCCCGGAGTTATCTTCCGGCAACAATGAGGAGAAATCCAGCAGCACCAGTACGTATTAAAGTCAGCGCCTAGGTTATGAGAGAAAGTTTGCAATGTTGCGCGCTGTTGTTAAAAATTTTATATGCTGTTTTATAAGCATATAAGGTTTATAGAGGGCCTGTAGACCCCCCACCCCCAACAAAAGTTTGTTATAAACTGCAGGATCACGTGTTTGGAATTGAAATTGGCCGTGAAAGACACCAGGCCAGTGATTTTTCTGTAGCCTAACGCTGCTGTATGTCCCCAAAAAGCACCCAGATATGAATGCGAAATCCCTATAGAAACCTGTGTTAATTCGGTGTGTTATGAACGTGCTTGTTTCACCCTTTCTTGACGCTAAATGGGCATATGCATGTCATGAGGGTGGTGGCTCTAGTTTAAGGTTTTAGCACACATGAGCTCTCGTGTTGAAGCTATCATGCAGTGTGTGCCTGTTCCCACTTGCATATTTTCTCCCCTGTGTCTTATATAAAAACCAATTTATAAATTTTCATAGAAACTGTTTATTGTAACACATTCTACTTTTTCCTGTAGCCAGTTGCATGTATTTCAAGTTGAGCTTGTTGATTTCATTGCTGGAAAAGGTCAAAGCCCAAGTGTATGGTCTAGTGAACCAGCTGTGAATGGTTTGGTAATCTTTCCAGTGCAATATAATATCAGTATATATGACACTTGAAATGTTGAAATGGGAAATATGTTATTAATGCTTTATGTAGAGGAAATCCGCCCGTGCGTAATCTGGGTAACATCCAGGACGTGTAAATCTTTTTGTAACATAGTCATGGCTTCTATTAAACGTTAATATTTTCTATAAACTCTACATTTGTGTGTGTTTTCCAGATGGACAGAGGACCCGCAAGAAAAGGTGCCCTTACTCCAAATATCAAATCAGAGAACTTGAACGAGAATTCTTTTTCAGTGTGTACATAAACAAAGAGAAGCGCCTGCAACTGTCTCGGATGCTCAACCTAACCGACCGACAAGTGAAAATTTGGTTTCAGAATCGCCGCATGAAGGAGAAGAAACTGAACAGAGATAGATTACAGTATTACACATCCAACCCTCTGCTTTAGGGGTCAAACACAGCATCCCGTCCCCCAGGCTCGAACAGTCCTCTGCTGTGGGGACTCACTGCGTTTACAGACTGCCTCTCCGGGGCTGTGACTCTCTCCCTGTGTACATTGTGTACCACAATGGCCGCTCCAGCAGCAGCAGCAGCAGCACTGCTCAATGGTTAATTTCAAGTTCGAGGACAACAGTATCCTGTGATCTGACTAACCTAAAGAGTGAGCATGAATTAAGACATTTTGTGGACTTAATAGCGACTCTGATTTTGGGGGAAATATAGAAACGGATTATTGTCCTCGCCAAGACTGTGCGTGCGAAGGCCCGATGTTATCGTTATTGTGACTCCCACACGCCTTCTTTTAATTCCCTTTCACGCGGACAAAAACTCCCAGCAGTCTAATTGACTGATCCAGTGTATTTTGTAATCAAAAGATTTATTTAACCCTTTTATTCTTCCAGTTTTAAAAATCAGAAAACTGCTGGGGTTTTCTAGGATGATGGCGAACATGTGACTTTAATAACTGAATCTATATTGGTGTGACCAAATAATGAGTCTGAACGAATGAGAATGTAATGTGTTTCTGTTTTGTCTGCTTATTTATTTTGTAGCCACTCGTTTACTATCTCGTTTCAATGCCACGGCTTGAAGTCCATTATTACAGGCAGGCTGTGGGGATTCGTGTTGAGTCTGGGCTGACCTCAAAACAAGCTTTTGTCGTCTTTTCTTTGAACCTGTAGAGAGAAGGCTGAATATTTATATTTTTGAGAATATTTCAATACCCAAATCCATATTTGTCCCTTTTTTGATTATTTGTTTTGGAGACTATCAGGCGAGTATTGATAATGCAGGCCAAACCAGAGAGATAAGCTTGTCCACTGGATCCGTGTGGAGTTGCACTGAGGTACACGCCCAACATATTCACACAGGTATACAGCCTATGCAGCGGGCCTCTTCGGTCTGATCCTGATGCGCATAACAGAATATTTTTTTCACGACTCCTGATCCTTTGGTACTTGCAGTCTGATCAAGGTTTAAAGAAAAACAAATCTGCATTTTTAAGTGTGCTGTCAGGGCAAAGCTTGTCAGGGTCATCGCATTGAATCAACTGCTTGGTATGCCCAAAAACTATTGTGTATTATACTCTATTTCCAAATAAAAACAACAAATGAAATGATTATTAAAAAATAATTATAACTCCTGCCTGTTGTTTGCCTTTCTTTGAAAAAAAAAATATATACGTCATGGTCAAGAAAAATGCACATGGTGTTTTTTCTCATTTCGTTTTACGCACGCCAACTTCACATTTAAAACAGACTCGAATTGTCACATTAACGTGATCGAAGAAACTTAACAACCGAAAGTGCAGCATATGAGAGCTCACATGTAGTCCGTCCTTAGAGGCACATGGACGCACTACCTCATGCAAATTAAACGTGTTTATATTTACTTTTTATGGTACAAGTGAATAAAATAACCAATTAATAATAAAAGCTGCCACTTCTCGTTAAGCAATGGTTTCTACACAATCCTAAATGCATAATTATGGAACTTTGGTCTTTAAAATGTAGATAAAGAGAAATCTACTAGAGATAATTTTTCCCCTGCTGTTTCCTTGTGTTGCTACATTTTCCAATTATTTTGAGCTATTTTTTTTTGCAACTACAGGAAATCTTTGTCTTTGAGCCAATCTGGATAACTCATGTGTCCACACTTATCCATGGCCATATTATTAATTTTGGCCAAACATTCAGCCTTGCAGCGTCTACATTTTGTTTTCTATAAACGCGTTTGTCTCTATCCCCCTATCTCTTTGTAGTCTTTGTACGTGATTGTCTGTGTGTGTGCGTGCGCGCTGTCATTTCACTGATTGGCTTTGAAAACAGTGTCCCAACAGCCTTCTCCTTTGGCGAGGGTTGCCATATTTGCTGTTGTTATCACTGTGTTTATGGGAGCTAGCCGCAGCGCATTGGCGTTCATATATGACAGTCAAAAGGGCCATAAACGCGGGGAGAGAGGCTGAAGTTTATGGTTGCCTCTCTCTGCCATAGTCCGGCCTTGCCTTGCGCATCCTTTACTGCGCGCTGGAATTCCGTCCCTAATTACGGGACATCCTCCCCGTTGCCGCAGCAACGCGGCCATAAAAGCTGTCTGAGAGTCTGGAGCATTTGTACAATTGGAGTGCAGTGCAATAAACCGTCTGAGACCCAAGGTTATTAACTGTGTTACCAAGGAGGCGAGAGCAACGACAGGGAGAGGACGCGCAGGAAAAGCCTCTGCTTGTTGGCTGCATCGACTCCATTTGAGAGGCTTTTCCCCCTTGTGCAGTTTATCCACCTCGAATCAGTGTAGTGGCGACGGCTGCACTTAAGGATTAGACGCTCCTTTGCCACCGGGCGGCGCTATTGGGACCAATGTCATGGCCGCGGATCTTTTCGTCTCCACGCTCACCTCGAATGCAGGCAGGTAAAAAGCTGTTGCAAACACAGCCCGGAGCTTCTCTAGTTTGTTCTGCTGCAACTACAAACTTCTTTCTGTTGGGCTCGAAAACGGGAGGCCTGTTGGTTTGAGAAAGGCGCCGGTTTGTGTTCGGTTCCCACATTTCTCTCTCGTGCTCAGTAGGCCGTGTGGTAGAGAAAGTCTTCCAGGGGGCCCTAATAAGGCAACACATCTGTGCCAAGCCTTCATGCTGCATGTGCTGCATGTGCTATTCATTTTGCTGAGCTTGGGCTTTTTAATGGGTAAAGTATAGCATGGCCGACTTGTACCTGCAGAGATCCGCAACCCCGTCCAGTCTCACCACAAATGTTTTGGATTTTGGGGGAGTCTTGCCTTAATGATTTAAAGAATGGTTTACAGTTCACATCTTAATGATACAACAGTAAGCACTGGGCGCTGGTTGCAAAACATTTTTTCTTTAGCTGGCTCTCGTGCTATTGCAGCTCATCTTAAATCACAGCAGCTGGCTTTGTATATGCTTAAACTTTGTTTTTTTCGTCTTCCCTCTATTCTTCAAAGAATCCACTAACAACATTTGACATCCTTCCAAAACACATTATTGTCTGTACGTGCCAAGTGTATAAAGTCAGCTATTAGGGAAAGGCGATTTGATTGTGATAGGGCACCAATCGCTTCTCCCTTTTCCTTCCTGACATGGACACAGATCCGCACTATAAGCTATTCGGTGTCAGTCCAAGTGGCGAGCGACTATTCTGAACTTTCAATGCGTGCGCGCTGAGTCTCTTTCTCCTTTGTCTCTCGTGAAAAATAAATACTTCCGCTGGATGTAATAAAACGCCGCGTTATTGTTCATAACTGCACTCGGGACGAACATGATACAACTCAAACGGCCTCTTCGGCCACGATTATATGGGCCTGATCAAAGCCAGTGGTCAGAGTAAACTGTTTTGAGGACATAATAGCCAGGCAGCTGTGAAAATGAAGATTTAATAGCTACAATTAATAACTGTAACACAGAGATATCGATAGGCCCTCCATGTCAGCGCAACACCACGAAGTGTGCAAGCCAAAAACAATTTAATACTCTGCGCACATAATTAATTGATGTATTTAGTTTCCTTAGCAGCTCATGTGTCCCATAAGGAACAGGCCGCTGTTGGGGAGATTACACAGACTTTCGAGTTATCGCTGTAAGTTTGTGTGTTTTTTAGTGGCCCAACACTATTGTGAATTATTTTATGGTTTGGGGGAATTTGATAAACAGGCGCAAACGCTCGGTGCGCTGCATTTGTCTTTTAAAAACCCACGTACTGCAGTATGCAATATGCTCTTTTCTTTGTACATTTCCCTAATATATCATTTTGCTTTTTAAACGGGTTATTGTACTACAGTCGTACACACATAAATAACCTTCAAGCAAGCAGTCATTTAAGCCATTTGAAATATGTGCGTTTTTGAGCAGCAGCGATTGACAAATGTCCACCGTCGACGTGCTACGGTCTAAGCGAGTGTACATAAATGAGCTGTCAATGGTGGAGCGTTTTAAAACCTAAATGGGCGCAATTTATGAATTTCTCCCAAATTTGCTCATTTCTGCTACAACCGGCTGCAAATACACCCGGGGGGCTCGTGGCCACCTGGGCCTGGTAATGGCAAAGCTGGCCGAGATTAACTTCAACCTGGAGAGAGCAATCGAGTGCACATGTCCAAGGACACTACGAGATGGAAGGAGAGTTTTATTGTGGCCCTTATTGCCCCAAATTGGACCGACAGGGTGACTTGTATGTGCAAGCTTTATGTCTGCTTAGCTGTGGCGCACGGTGACGGCTCAGCAACGCCGTGATCAATATTTCAGCAGTTTCCCCCTCAATGTAAATTTGCACACTGACCGCCTTTTCTATTATCTGACGTTTTATATGGAATTCAAATTAATGCTGCACCAAAACGAAATTATATTTTTGCTCTCATTCGATTTTAACCAAGGAATATTCGAGTTTATCCTTGTTTTTTCGTTGTGCGTAATGGCTCCTGATGTGAATGGCCCGAATCAGTCACAGAAATGCACACAAAATACACACATTACTAATTTTTAAATACTTTAATACAATAGCTAATTATTAAATGTAAAATACTCATTATACTGTTGTTAGTTCTCGCAATTAAAGACAAATCTAGTGCGTAATACGGGCACTAAAAAGCTTTTCTCTGAGGAGGTAACTATTATATTGGATATTTCAGGAATGTCAGGCTGCGTTTTAAGGATACCATAATTCGTCATATACGGAATTAATTATTTTCTGTATAGTATATAGGATTTTCGGTCAATGTAAATTTAATTGCTTTTACTTGTGACGAGGAAAGTCTTTGTCTTTGTTTACGCACGGCTATATCTTTGCTGTACTCCTGATTTTTCCTTAATTCCACATTAATCTAAATTAATACTTTAATTATGTACTGTTACAGCAAACTTGATATTATTTGTGATGACAGTGCATGTGGAAAATAGTTTTAAAAAAGTGGGAAACTCTTTCTATGATAGAAGCTGCTCACTTGCTCAAGGCAGCCTTGGTCTTAACATATTTGCTTTTAGTGCGGAAGAAGTCACTGTCTTCAGGCTAAAGGATGCACCTCTTTTTTACCAAGTGATGTTGCCAAAGGCGAATTTCCCCTGCAGTTCAAAACACTTTATTGCCGCTAAGTCCGATGGCTTTGTTATTTTATGTCTTTGTTGGTGGGTTTCAGCAGCCCCTAAACTTTGAAACTTGATTTGCCACCTTAAGGCCACATCTTCCTCATATGAAGCAGTGTTTTTACTGTAACGAAAGGGAGTTGTGTGTCGCTTTATATTCACACATTGTTGACAACCACCCATACATCAGCACATGGGTTTTAGGTTTTAGAAATGTGATGCTTCTTACTGTTACATCCACTATTGAGCTATGTGGTATTGATTTGCACCTATAGGGACAATCACTACTCCAGTCATCATTTGGCGTCTTGTGCAGCTGATATTTGTGTGATAGTTTCTTTAAAGAATGCTTCCATGAATGGCAGTTTTCATTAAGATGTTAAGTTTAAAACTTAGCAACGTGTCAGACCTCTCCCCTTGTATGTGCTAATGGTGGTGCATTAAAGCAAGGTGAGAGAAAACACTGATTGCTGCGCTGTCTCCTTTCTCTGCCTCAGCTCCATGATGGATATTGCTCCGGCTGCTACGTAGCCTCGGAGTGGGAGGGACTGCCCATCTTCCAGCATTTCCATTGGTTTTACGGTCCGCACGGCGGAGAGGGGGGTGCCGCTAATCATATCCAACATGTTTTGTACAAGAAATGTCAGCCAGAAAGGGCTATCTTCTCCCTTCGCCAAAATACACCACAATAATGTCATGTTCGGACAGCCCGTCAGGAAATGCGTTTTTAGTGGATTCTCTGATCAGTGGCCGCACGGAAAGCGGCGGAGGTCACTACACAGGGAGCGCGGTGTGCGTGCCTCATAGCACTGCTACAGAAGTGCCTTACGGACTACACAACTATGGATACTTCCCAGGTATGGGTAAGCGCAGCGAGTTGGGCGCCCAGAATATGGTTTCAGCCTCAGGTGCGTACATGTCCAGCATGGAGATGTGGATGGACGCGCAGAGGTCATGTCGAATGGATCAAGAGCACCCGGTAGGTCCCCAGGTCGCGCCCTGCTCGTTCCCGCAGAACATTAAGGAAGAGAGCACCTACTGTCTATATGAGCAGCCGAAGTGTCCTAAAGCCTCAACCGCCGAAGATCTGACATATTCGAGGTTAACTACAGCCGGACTCGGCTCGAGTTCTTGTACAGTTACTGATGGCGGCGGCGGGGGCTCAGTGCCTGTGCCGGGCTACTTCCGCTTGTCTCAGACGCACGCACATTCTCATAAACTTTACAACACCAACGGCCCCCAACCGAACCCTTCCCATTCCCATTTTGGCTTACACCCCACTGCTACTGCTCGTTTCCACACGCCACCAACCTCGACTTCTGCTCCAGCCACGACGCTTGAAGAACGGAGCACCGAGGAGCCCGTGTCCTCGGCGAAAGCAGACGTGCAGCCTCACGCTGCACCGGTGGCCGAGGAGACAAGAGAGTCTTCAGATGCAGAGGCGTCCTCAGCAGACGAGGCGGAGGTGAATGACAAAGAGAGACCAGCAAAGACCACTAAAGGTAACTACAGTTCTTCATAGGTGTGGTTCTGCGTTGTGGTTAGTGTGCATGCAGGTAGTGCAGGTAGACATGCTTTTTAATTGTACCTGTCAAGTTTTATTGTACTGTTTGAGCTGCAGAAGCAAGACAGCTCCTAAAAAAACGTGTTTATATATTATTCCATTTTAACTTTGTAAATACAAGTATCTATGTTATCAATGATTAAATTTGTGTATTTGTGCACGAAAACGCGCCAACATTTAACGCGTAAAAAACATTAGCTAGAAAGCTAGATTTGGTTTAGTTATTCAGTCCTACCGTGTGATATGACATAAAAAGTTATTTAAAAAAATGTTTATAATGATCTACTACTATATTATACATTTTAAATACCCATAGCCTGTGTCTCTTGACCGCTGCGTAAAATACAGAACATAGGCGTACATGTGTTTGTGCAGGCCAACATAGTATTTTTCTGCCATGTTTCCATAAGCTTACTTCTTTATTGGAACAAAAATATTGTCGATGCTTAACTGGACAACTAATGTACAATGTTGTATGCAATGTTATATTTTGAATTTTAATTAGAAGTCTAGTGGGTCTAACAAAGAGGGTACGCATAACACACACACACACACATGCATACCCACACACACATGCACACCCACACACTGGCAGACTCAGGGGTTACTGTAATATCTTCATAATACAAAGATAGCCACACACTCCCGGATGTTCAGATGCTGCCTCTGTCTCCCCTACACACACACACACACACACAGACATGATCCACACACACCATCACAAACCGCAGTGACTCATGTTGCAGTGCGTAAAATCATCTATATATCTGCCATTTTCTTTAGGAGACACAAAAACTGAAAACATGGCCAACTGGCTGACGGCGAAGAGCGGCCGGAAGAAACGCTGCCCATACACCAAGCACCAGACACTGGAGCTGGAGAAAGAGTTCCTCTTCAACATGTACCTGACCCGAGAGCGCCGCCTAGAGATCAGTAAAAGCGTCCACCTGACGGACAGACAGGTTAAAATCTGGTTTCAGAACCGCAGGATGAAACTGAAGAAAATGACGCGGGAGAACCGTATCCGGGAGCTCACCTCCAACTACGGATTTTCGTGATGAACCAAGAACGTGATCACACTGAAACCGAGGCAAAAATAGGTGAATTTAAAATATGCCCACCCCCATCTCCACTTATCCATCTCCACGCACCACTTTGTCCACATGCCTCGTTTTGACTGTGGGGTTACAACTTCCGTTTTTTTCTTCCAGACACGCGCAATGTCAGTACATCGTCCTCTGTGAGCTACTGAGAAAAGACAAATGATAAAAAAATGTAAAAGGTTCTATCTGATTGTTTTCAGATGTTGTGTTTTTTGTATTGTCGACACGTTTCTGTTACTTCTGTCGTATGTTTGGATTGTGTCGTCAGTGGAATTGAATCAATGCAGTTGAAACGCACACCCACACCCAAACACATACACACACCCAAACACACGCACACACACACACACACACACACACACACACACACACACACACATACGCGCACTGTGCTCTGGAAGGTGGTTTGATCTGTCCACTTTCTCCCCCACCGCTGAGCAATAACACATTTTCCAAAATTTAGTTAAACAACTAGGAAATTCTTTAATTTTAATTGGAATTGCATGATATAAAGTTTTATTTTATTTTATTTTTTTAATTAATTTTGAACCACTCTGGAATATAACACCCATGTATCGCCGAGGAAAGAGTAATTCATTATGGCCATTAGATGTAGTCCACCATGATATAGATCTATTCTGTGTACGAGCTAAATGTATAAACTGAATCTTTAATCACGTTGACGTTTACACACAAAAAAACGGTGCGTAAAGTGAAGGAGAACTGTTTTTACTGTATATTTCTGTGCACATATGACATTGTGTTTTTGTGTAATGCTTAATAAATTATCAGCTCGCATTACGGAGTAACTGTTTGCATTTTTGTAACGTGGGGTTTCTATTTTCCAGGATAAGTTTATTGTCCTGGAGTAGAAAACTGCTTTGTTTTGAAATTCAAACGTCAAAAATAATACGTACTCCAACACTGGAGATGGAGTTGTTTTGTGAACCAGCTTAGAAATGTTCTCAGGGGCTAATGTAATGGCCATCGGAAATAATTAAGATATTAGGCTATAAGCCGTCTAGCTGCATGCCCAGCCGGCTATTGTAGAGTTTTATGACTGGCTGGTATATGAGGTTTCTCCCTCTCCTCTAAGAGCAGCTTCAGTCGTGGGAGAGCCTCTCAGACGGAGAGGAGGCCCGGCTCTCTGCTAGAAATTCTTACTGTACAAATGTACAATGTGGATAAAACATTGCCTTCTGCTTTACTTTGGAATAGTAGGATTAACGCTTCTGGGAGCGGGTAAGTCCATTCTTCATTGTGACAATTGTCTATTTTGCGCCTTATTGCTGCGGCTTCACTTTAGTGTTGTGCCACACACTTGCACTTTCTCAGAACAGACGCATTTGTGGACGCTTGATGACGGAACCTACGACCATGGTGCATTACGAATTGGCTGATTGGGTTTCCACTTGAGGCCCGGATCGACTGTCGAGTGGTTTAGGTAGTTTCATGTTGTTGGGGTCCATTTCAAACTCTGCAACATGAAACTGTCTTAATTGCCCCAGTTACATGCATCGAAACCAAGGGGGGAAGCAAACCGGGGACATAAAGTGGATTGGGTTTGTTGAACAGTGTGCAGAGGTGATTTGGAAGCATGTTGCAAACCTGCCTGGCTCATAAATCGGGGAGGGGTGGCTGGCTGTTGTGTATATTCTTTAACCTGTCTCCTGTTGTGTCCTCTATAGTTCTCCATGTGTTTGGTCGTTTTAAAGCGAGCCGAGCGGCCCATGTGTGCTGAATTTCAAACCTGATCTAAGCTCGGCTGCAGTATGCATCGTGGACTTGGAATTAAAGGGTAAAGCCGTGAGTGTTTTCCGTGAGTAGTAGTGACGCAGACACGCCAGACAAGGCCTCGGTTACGACCACTGCAGTGGAGGGGAAGGGGAAGGTGAATGAGGCAACAGCGACCTCCGTGGGCAATGGGACCGGATGCTTCCGCTGCGCAATAGTGGCTCAGACAAAAGGAGGGGAAGGGCTTTATGGCGACATTTAGATCCACCAGACAGGCTGTTATCTGCGGAGGCAAAAGAAGTAAATAGCCCCTGCGGTAAACCGAGTGAAAAAACACCCTGATTTAGGTTTACAGCCTAAGAGCCATTGGCACAGTGGCGGCTTTTCCTGCTCCAAAGGTGTTTGACTATTCTAAGTTTTAGTGCACAAATAGGCGCACAGCCGCTCCTTTCCCCATCGGCCTGTTTGATGTGTGTTAGACAAATAACGTGCAGGTAGTGAGGGTTAGGAGCCTTCAACGACAGTGCACATTTTGGACACCTTGTTTTGGATTGCTTTGCTAAATGCAATAGGAAGAGCTGCAGAGAAGAGAAAATTCCAGGGTGTTGAATTGCCTGTGGCCTTGTGGGGTGTTGGCCAAGCCCTTCGTTTATTTGCTGGCAGTAAATAAAACACAGAGGTTAGCATGAGAGGAGATGTCGCTTCATATTCAATGTGGGCACATAAGTTTAGCAAATAATGCACATTTACGCACACAGCCACCTCTTTTGAAATTAGATAGTTTTTGCAGTTTTTCTGTAATAGACATTAAGTATTAACGCGAATATTCTTTCTATCATTTAAAACATAATATGCATATCTTACAATATATTTTCGGCTGAATGGATTTTGATCCATTAGCCTGTTTGTTTAAAGTTAATGTTTTTGTGTTTATATATTTTCTTTAAATATAGTAGCCCGCAGGTTACTTCCCGCTCCTTTGTGCATATATTCCATTCATTGAATATATATATTTAATCTGAAGCACCTCTACATTGTGTATTTTATATCTTGTCCCGTGCTGTTTACCACTCCTCGCACAATTTAGCAACTTTTAACAGGAGCTAACCACAAACACCACATTACGCTTTAGCTGTGTTTAGGTGTAACGTTACACCAAAGCACCGGCTGCTGGAGCGCATACACTACATTTGTTAATGGCAGTGACGATACCGACATAGGCCAAATGCAAGTGATAACGGGGGTGCAAATAACCTGCGGCTTAAACCACGAGAAACAGGCACCAGCCGCCAATATGTCATGTCGAAAACCTGTTTTAATATTTCTGCTCGATGCTATTTAATACAGCGGTTCTTTAAAATACAGACTGACACACTGAACTTATTCAGTTTTATTTTTCTGTTGTTAAATGTAATACTCACTATCTTTTTACTTTCCATTGTTGTAGCCATTTTATATCACACTTTACTTAAAATTTATATCACGCACTTACAGGCTCAGGCTTTCCAGTATTTATTTATTTTTTTTAAATATATGTTAACACGTGTTTCAACACTTCCACGTTGATATATGTATGTAGTTAAGTCACACTGCAAATTGTAAATAAAATACTCTTGCTTTTTTTGTGTTAAAATAATGACAAATTCCAGATTAAATTTTTTTCCAATTTCTAAAAAATATTCCATGTTTGTTTCTTTTCATCTTTAGGAACACAGTACGTCACTTTCTATATAAAATGATTCTGTGCTGTGATGTGGATATTTAGATCTTATATAGTTCGTCTTTATACAGTGATGTGCAATATCACTAAAATAAATCACCAAATGCGGTTATTGTAGAAGAGTAGGGCCACATAAGAATTTGCATGTTTGGTTTTTAACGCTTTTACGCAACACAGCCCAACTGACAGAAATGTCTTGAAAAGTGAAAATAACTAATTTTCCAAAGGATAAAATAAGAATTGTGGTGTTTTTCTTTGTAAGTTAGGTTTGACATTTGAAGCGTAAATGTACGGACGTTGGAGGATATCTGAAGCAGCTGAAACGCAGCAAAGTAAATAAAAATGTAATTTGTATGGACGTGGTTCGAGATCCAGACGCTGTTTGAGCTCCATCTTGCAGCGTTTTTAATACGGTGGCGTTTAAAATGTGTTTTTGGTGAGCAGCAGTGGTAGGGTGCTTACGTGGCCTATAAAATACCTCGTAAAATAAGCCTCCCAAAAACATGCACTGTATCATTTTGGATAGAGGAGATTTCACCAGAACCAAGTGGCTGAGAGACAGAGATTTCTTTTTTAATCATTTGGTGATTCAAAATTTCCATCCCACACATCACAGTTCTCACTCATATCTGGATATTTCTTATCTTTAAAACTAGAGGTGGTTATAGGAGAGCGGGTGAGTATTTAATGACCAAAGGGATTGATTTATCCTTTATTGTTCAGCCTTTATGATCACGTGTGTCCGCTACCCAATGGCGTTGCAGCCTGTCTCCCCATTACTAGCCCACTGTAGTTCTCTGTGGGGCCAAGTTGCTACTTGATTTCTCCACATTGTTATTTTGTGAGGCTGGGTTTACTGCGTGTGTATGTGTGTGCGGTGTGTGTGCGCGCGTTTTTTTTTTACTTTTGCATGTATCTGCTGAATGACTGCGTACATGTGAAAGTATAATTTCTGTGCAATGTCGACATCCGGAACGCTGACTAGTTACTACGTCGATTCCCTCATTCTGCCCGAGAGCGAGGAGGTCTCCGTACCGAGGTACTCCTCCGGTCCTGGGCTCCAGCATGGCAGACAGCCCGTCTCCATCGGCGACCACGGCGAGCTCGGGACTTGCACCTTCCCGTCCAAGCCTCCGGTGTTCGGGCCGTCGTGGAGCCACGTCCCGGCGCAGTTCCCGGGCACCGTCTCCTCTGTTTATCATCACCACTATGGGCACCCCCAAGGGCCGGTGGGCGCAGATTCGGACGGGCGTTATCAGTCGTGGCTGCTGGAGCCCATGTCCGGTTCCCTGCCCATGACCGGATTACCCACCCATCACTACGGAATCAAACCGGAGGGTCTGGGGACGCGGGCTGAAGGAGCGTTGCCGGGCTCCCATAGCGCGCTGCTGCTCTCCGATTACGCGAACGGCACGGTGGCGACGACATCACCGGTGGAAAAGGACGCGCTCTCCGGCCAGACTGGAGACGTGAGCGGGGAGGTCGAAGAGAAACCCAGCCTCGACCCAAGTAAGTCGCTGCACAGTCCTTTTTGCGCTTATACTATTTATACAACATAAAGAACTGAGGATGGGTGCGTGATGGGGGTGCGCGTCTGAACGTGCCATTTCCTTATGGGGCTGTTAATGGCTGAGGTCTCCCATTGCTATATTAACCTTTTGCAGCTTTTAAAGTGAACGTGGACAGAGAGAAATGAGGAGGAGCTTTAATTTGGATGTAGCTGCGTTTGTCTTGTCAGGCTATTGGGAGGTTCATTTTCTCTTGCGCCAAATTATGACTGTGATTTTATTATTATTATTATTTGGACACGCAGTACTGGGCCCTCACACCCACTGTCGCACCCCACTCTTTCCAGATAACCCAGTGTCCAACTGGCTCCACGCGAGTGCCACGAGAAAAAAGCGCTGTCCGTACACCAAGCACCAGATCCTGGAGCTGGAGAAAGAGTTCCTCTTTAACACCTACCTGACCAGGGACCGTAGGTACGAGGTGGCGAGGCAGCTAAACCTCACCGAGAGACAGGTTAAAATCTGGTTCCAGAACCGCAGGATGAAGATGAAGAAGTTTAATAAAGACGGCGCACCGAAAGATGAGTGACTGAACCGTATAGAGAGAAAAACAGTATTTAGGCTGATGAGCTTTTGTGTGTGGAAGCTCTTAACTCTGCTGGACCTTGTTTTTAAACTTCATTGTCTTATTGTTCTATATAACAGAAGCTGTTAGGCTTAAATGTCTTATTAAAAAAGCATGTTGGGCTTCATTTTGCTGCGACTACCTTTATATTGCACAATTTTAACAGTGCCCACTCGTTTATTTTTTCATTTGTTCCTTTCTTATGTTGATA